GCAGCAGCATCACAGTGTCTGAAAGGAGTCAGGGACTCGAGCAGTGATTCCTAATCAGATTGCGCTGAAGTGAACAGCTCGCATGGCAGCTGTAGTTTTCCCAGGGTTAATTACCTTTCACTGCTCTCTCTAAATGAGTCAGCTGTTCCTGTCATTAAACAACTCCACTTTATCTCTGCTCCTCTGTCCTCCACGCACACGCCAGCRTGCACACTCGCACACGACTCGAGGCACCTTTCACCCTTCGTTTCAAAAAGTGATCGGTACGATTAAAGACTTTTAAAAACACCAATTATTTAAATGATATAGTGACTTTGATTAGTTGACTTATCAGCCGGTGGCTATTGAAAATCAAGGTTGCTGTTTTTATTGTTTCATTTTATTTCTGCCACTGGTTTCCAATGCATCTCCCTTACATTGATACAGAATAATACCAGTCTGTCAAGGTCTCATTGTCGTTGTGCTAATTGAGCACATATAGGAAGCAAACATGCTCACATATGCGCACATGCAAACATGAGCATACGTGCATCCACAAACACATGCAGATACATGCACAGTCCAGCTCTGATGTGGTTGTTCTGAGCAGTCTGTCTGTTCACTGAGCTCAGTGGCCCAGGATGTTGGTGCGGCAGTTTTAAGTGATTTTTGCCACTGCATGTTAAAAAAAAATAAAAAAAAATCCCTCGGCCACCTGGATTACAAACTCTAGTCCTTTAACTCATGCCAGGATAAATCCGTGTTAACTCGGATTTACCTCTGGCATATGAATCCTCAGTCGGCGTAAGCTTTGTTTGGAATGAGTTGAACATAAGTATTTCATGCAGGCGAGGATGCCCGGTGGTGAGTTTTCCCATTTCTGCGAACATTCAAAAGAAACACTCCGAGATAGTCGAAGGACTGAAACAGCTGTTGGGAAACAACCGGAGAACTCTGAGGCTGTGCTTATTTATTTATTTATTTATTTATTTATTTATTTATTTATTTATTTATTTATTTATTTTAACAGGCGAGGGGTGAGAGCAATCCACGTGCAGGTGCTGCACTGTGTAATCCACATAACTATGGCAACCGGCGTAAACTAAAAAAAAAGTGCATCTGCGGTGGAGAGTTTCAACAAGAATCCTTACAGTGCTTATTTTGTTTTATTTATTTATTTATTGCTTTACTGTCAGACAAGCATTGTTTGCTCATTTGTTCAAACACAAGTTCTGGTCGGCTCCCAAAACGATCATGATAAAATAAAATATGGCATCAGCAGCCTGGAGGATCTAAATTAAGTATTATCCAATCTCTCACACACACTCACACACACACACTTCTGGGATAGCAGAGTTAAGCCAGACTATTTTGTACTTAAAAGGTTAGCAGGGCTGTTTTGTGAGTTTGATCCACGCTTGCCAAATCAGCAGATGGTCCATGAATATGATTATGTGCATCAATAAAAGGAGTAATCTTTGACAAAATGTAAATTTGACTTAAGTCCAGGCTTTAATACACACCATGGACTTCAACCCACTTTCCAGCTAACATGACACTGACATGATAAGCTAATGCTCTTGAATTTTGTGCAACAATCACAGCTGAAGCTCTTGTGTTACTAGTTTGAAGATAAAAAAAAAAACAGAGAAAAGGTAATAAATATTCTTAAATGTGAAGAATTTTGAATTTTTTTTTTACTTAAACAGTTCAGTGATGGATAAAAACTGAAACTAGATGATTATTAAGGTGGGTTTGTTTTTGTTTTTTGTTTTTTATTTTAAATGCCAGGTGTTTAGATAAAACATTTGACAACCCTGACTGAAACTTAATTATAAAGCATTTATCAACCATTCTCATTTATATATATATATATATATATATATATAAGGCAAGACATTATATTACCTGTAGTACAAACTAAGACAAAAAGTTGGAAAAAAAGAAAGTTTGAGCAGCGATTCTGAAGTTAAGAATGAGCGAGTGAAATAAGGAGACCCTTGCTCTGAGACTCAGAAGGAGGAGAAAAAAAAGCATCAGTGTTATTGACCCAGTCGTTATCTGAGCCTGAGGCTTACACAGCACAGCACATCTCCACACAGACAAACACAATCACTTGTCTCCKGCATCTAAACGCTCTCATGTTAACATGTCCGACAGGGCAGAATCACAAGCTCGACTTACCAACATGCCCCTTTTAGCCTTTGTTTTGCCTCTCTCAGGGACATCAGGGAGGAGACGGAGCAGAAGGACATCGAGGTGGGGTACAGGGTAGTCCAGAGTCTCGCTGCTGCGAGAGTGTGTGTGTGTGAGTGTGTGTGTGTGTGTGTGTGTGTGTGAGAGAGTGTGTGTGTGTGTGTGTGTGTGTGAGTGCAGAGACACTGTGATATTCCCCCGAAATGTTGAGCTTTTTTCTCTTTCTTTTTTTTTTCGGTAGTCTTTGTGTCATTCACTTAACAACCAATCTCATTAGCTGCTGGGCTACAATGGGTTGAATTATTTTCTGTGTAAATACACCACATGGTGATCCTCAAGGTAAAAAACCTCTGAAGGTTTTTTATGACGTAAAAGGCAGATTCACCTCAGAGATAAAACAAAAATACTAATATTAATTAATCTTTGATTGCACTAAAATAAATTCTGGTTTTGATTTCATCAAAGAAATTAGATCTTTATTCCTGATTATCAATAGTGAAGATGTGTAATTATATGACTAATTAAATGTTGCTTTACACAGGCAACCCTGGCTTGATAATGATGCTCTAAGAACAAAATTAAATAACGGATCAATTCAAGTCTGGTTTTGAAAAACTCTCGAAGAAGTGTGGAAATAATTCGGGACAATAAGGTAAAAGCTGTTTTACTTATGTGCTTTTATTTTATTTAACACAAACCCCATCACTTTTCCGGTTGTGGTGGAACCATAATTGTCTTCAAAACGCAGCTATTGTGCAAAGTTGAAGTCATGACAGCTGTCTATAAGCAGAAGGGACATGTCTATTGGCCAACTTGACCCTTGTTAGAAAACAAAACAAATACAAAAAGAGAATACTGCAGCCTGGGACTGCCGAGCCGGGTCACTGGAGATTTTCCAGACAAACGCCGCACAGGGGAGGGGAGGGGAGGAAGAATAAAAAGGACAGGCTCAGAATCTCATTTTAACAGACCGCACACAATCTGGGCTCCCACAGAACTATCTCTGCCTGACCGCTTTCTATTTATCCCTTATCAGTGTTTACCAACCGCTAGTTTTCTTTCATTCACACTGTGAGGCAGTTCTCTTACTATCAGTCAACAGCTGACACCGTGGAACAGCCTCAAAGGCGAGAGGAAGGGATCAAAACTAAACCAAAGCTGTTTAAACAATACAACAGAGGAAATAAATTCATAAATCCTAATTCTTCCCAACCCACAAGGGTATAAGCAGATCCTTTATAGTTAGGCCAACAAACACAACCGCAGCCAATGAGGTACATCACAATCAAGGTAAATTTGGAAATATATTTAGTATAAAGAAAGGCAAGAAGGGGGAAAAAAATCCAGTGTAATATTAATTGGAAAGCTTTTATCGTCTTGCCCTGTCAAGAAATTTTATGTCTTCGCTAAAAGGATTTTTGCTTCTGTCTTTTGTGATCTTTTCAGGAAAATCCCATCTGATTAATTATTGGTAACATTTTTAGATCATATTACTAACAGGCCAGAAAATAGGACTTAACGTTATTCACATTTTAAGCGCTTTAATAGGATTTTAGGAGTCTTGAAATAATTAATAAACGTTGAAATTCAGAAAGTCAGAGAGTGGTGTAAGTCCACTACTACAGAACAAATCAGAAACATTCAAACTGAAAAGTGTTTTTGGTTTTGTTTTTAAATGTATTATTTAGATTTTATGATTGCCTTGTATAGTTATATACATTTTGGATTCATTTTAACGTCTTATTAACAGCAAATTTATTTAAAGTAAATGTGCCATCTATGATCGATTTCCTCCGCACAAACTTTTATTCTCGGCACGACTAATTTTATATTTTCATGCGAATATTTCAGCTCTCTGGGATAAAAAAAAATTCATTTAAAAAAACAGTTTGGTATTGTTGATGCCATTGCTTTACTTCTTTTTCCTCTTGTAGGAGACACAAACAGCACTATTTTTCTTTTTTTTCTGTAAAACGTTTTTAAAAGTTAAGTAATTAATTACATTTATCCTAACGCCAGCTGTTCAACAGCAGATGGATCATTTCTGAGACCTTGTTGAAATAAATCCACATAATTCATTTTTGGGATTAACTAACTGAAGTTTTTAAGTCTGGGTTGCGAAAACAGGTAACACAATGTGTATTAATTGACGCATATGTGTTCTGATGCTTTGCCAAAATAACCCAAACGATTTGAAGTGTAACTAACAGATTTTTTATAGGAGCTAATAAATCTTAAATAACTTTCTTTGTCTAGATGAACAATAACAGACACATAACAAAATTACCACCCCAGATTTTGTTATATGCCCCTGACAGAAGGAGGTTTTTTTAATATATAAGTTTGTAATTATATTTCCTTGTAAAGCAGGTACCATGGACAGTTCCTGGACTGCAAACAGTGCTCACATTAAAGTGTTGTGTAGCAACATCCCTGGGCTTTGAAGGGGAGGGTGTGGAGCAGAGGAGAATAATGCCTCTTACTTATCTCTGTTTTACCACACAGACCTGCCACAGCCAAGCTGCTTTTATAATTAGTGTAAAGGTCTAACTTTGTAAACATAGTTCTTCTATTATAATCTAACTATAGCTCTAACATTATTTTGATAGGTGACACTCTTACATGGAGCTGTATAAAATGCCTTCTCTTTATTAATATATGTTATAAGCTGGTGAAAATAAGAAGATAAAGTTATGATAAAAACTGAAGAGGTGTCCATTTGTTTACTGTATTTTACAACTTAATAATAACACGCCAGACACAAAAGGTGACACTGTTCTTTAAAAAAAGTCACAGATGTGGTTTGCTGCCAAATCAGTTTTTATAATATAATTATTTAAGTGCTGCTACAGAGTTTGTAATAAAAAACAACTATGACCGAAGAACTGTGAGATTCTTCATAACTTTCTAACTTTTATTTAATTTTTTTTTTGCCTAACAAGAGCCAATTTAAAGGTGGTTCATTGATTCTGAGTCATTAGTGTGCTCCGAGTTACTAGTAAATGATGAACTTTTCTACCATCTACCCTCCTAAATCAATAGTTGCTCAGGATACTGTTGAGTGCTGCAACCCATCACAATTTGTTCAAAGCAAAGTTTTGCCCACGTCTGACACAAAAGTTCACTTTGCGACTATATTACCATTCAGTTTTAGCAGTTTTTCTTTAACTTTACCACAGCTAAAATGTGAATAATTGTGAAAGAATTCAGGATAGAAAATGTTTCCTGGCGCAACTCTGAAATATGCCCTCAGACTTTACAACAAAACCCTGTTTGTCATTTATTTTGCTTTCATACTATAGTCAGAATTTGCATTTGGTTTCCAAACTTGCAGTACAAATTACTGAGAGCTCTGAACAGGATGCAATAAAATACTTGACTGACTGCTCAAACATGGTATTGGAACACAGAGTCAATGTTTAAGTGCATTAGGCTCAGTGGTCTTGTATGTACAGCTGTCACTGTCAAAGCCACAGGCAACCTGACAACGCTTTGTCTCTGCACACAATACGAACATGTGTTCCTCTAAGACAAGCTTATACTCCACACAAACGCAGTGATTCTAATCTAGGGAGACAGTATCTCATGCTATCTGGATGATCAAAAATAGGTCATGCCTCTCAAAAAGCAGTTTGGGCCATTTAATCTCCTCTCAAACTGTCTGAAACCTAAACAGAAGCTGCGCTTTGCTTTCCAGCAAAGATTTTAAGAATGCTGCTTTGTATCGGGCTGTGCGGTGCTCCGAATCAGTGCAAGAGTTCAAAAACAATGGCCAGCATGACTCTTTGTTAGCCGTGGAGCAAATCACAGAGCATAAGTTAAAAGCGATCGGGTGAAATCTCAGCTCCTGTCTGAAGAAGTTTTGGAAACACTTTCCAACGCCGCTCCTGCTTTCGAACTGATAATACAGCATCTAACAGCGTCAGCTAAAAGGCTTGTCATTCACATATGCAATGCACCGTATCAGTGATAATAAATGCTGACCAAACTTGACAGGATATTAAATAAAAAAAGGAACTTGACACCAACCTATTGCTGTGATCCAAAAAGTTTGATTTTCTCCCAGTCTCTTGATAGCTGAGCTGGTGCTGTGGCTTTGAAAGGTAGTCCCCAGGAATATGACATACTGTGCCTTTGACAGCCTCGAGATAAGCACCTGCGTTCGGGTCCCTTTTTACGTCACACCTCCCCATTCACAGCCCTTCAACATGATGCACATTTGCACATCAACAGCCACCAACCCCCCTCCTCGCTCTATACTCCCACATCCGCAAAAAAAACACACACACACACAAACAGGCACACAAGAAGGAGGCAGATGCGCGCACTAGCCTCTACTCATGCGCGCTTTGCACAGCACCACAGATTCAGGCGCTCTCTCTCAGAAACCTACACCCAGGTGATTTATTCAACTCCATCGGCCCCATTCGTACATTAATCCTTATTTTTGGGTTTTAAAAAATATAAACTTTCACTTGCTTTGTCGTAAGACCAGGGGCATATGCCCTGCCAAGCTCCTCACACATCACTCATCATGCAAATGAGAGGGAATGTCACTCCTCAGCAGCAGATGGCCAGGGATGATAACAATGGCTCAACAGACCAGTTTCAGTGTCCATGACTTTATCGCTACGACAAAAACAAAAATAGATATGATAGTCTGTTCATGAGATTTTTTTTTAAATGACTCTCACTTTGCTTTACTTTTCTTAAAAAATTTAAATGAAAAGAAATGTAAGAAACAACAACTAAAAAAACTTTACTGTCTTGATAGTTTGGCTGTAAGTAAAAAGCAAAGGAGTGGAAATGATTTTTAGTGACTAGAAAGCTCCTGCCTTGCAGTTATGAGAGTAATTAGGTGTAATTCCTCCCTCTAGGCCATGTTAACCCCCTATGAGTTAGCTCATGCGTTCGACAGGCCCGAATAGAGAGACAAGGGGGGGAAAAAGAAAAGAAAAGAAAAGAAAGAGGGTCCATGAGAAATCACGAATGCAGCTTTTCAAACACCTCCCAAGCCAAAGTGATGTCACCCTTCGTCCTGCTGACTCCTGTTCATACAAGACCCCCACGGCACAGAGTAAACAGTGGAAGCGTTTAGCAAACAGGGCCAGATTACAATGACAAAGGCGACCACACTTCTGGGCGGAGCCTGGGGGCAAAAAGAAGTGGGGGTGGCTCAGGACTTTAAAATAAGT